ACTATGAACTGGCACAAAACAACCAGGTATTTTTGACAAACAGCTGCCAAGGTTTCAGTGCAGCATCTGGTGCCTATCTTTCCAACCTGTTACGATGCAGACTTAAAACAGCCTAGCTGGCCAAGCCTGTGGAACAAACCTTGTCCAAAGGCCCAACCCTGCTGCCTCAGGACTACAAAGAAGAGTGTTGGTATGCAAAGTACAGCCACTGTAACTGTCATCTCTTCATCTCTACTATCAGGTTTTAAAAGATTTTCATGGAATTTGAAATAGAGTCAGCCCTGAGCCAAATCTAATGTTAAGGACGATTCAAGGGCATTCTTGAGCAAATACTCAGAATGGAAAAGAACTGCCAAAAATCCAGAGGTAGGCGGAATAATAGGGCTTTGGAATTTCTTTGCTAGAATTATAAGTGTAGAGCAAGCCCTGGCAGAATCAGCAAATACCTTTGTTTCCCCTTTCCAATATACTCCACAGTCACATCTAGTTGTGTGCAAAAGGCTCGGAGGTAAAAGAAAGCACAGCATGTCAGGGAGAGAGCAGAGCAAGCCACAAAAAAACCAGGAGAGCTCTGCCTACTCTTGTCCCTGGGGCTGTGAAAGCTACTCACTCTTAGGCAGGTGAATGTCTTTTCCTTCTCTAGCATTTGTAAAGGATGTATGAGCCCACTGTTAAATGTTCAGGAAGTTTGAGTTCCACAGATATGAAGTTGATTGGATAGCTACTAGGTGGAATTTGGTGGGAGAAAACAATGAAATAGAAGTCCATCCCTTAAGCTTAGAGTGCAGTGGCGAGACAGACAGGTATGACTGTACTCAAGAGATTACAGTACAAACCTGTCAAGATCAAGCTACAAGAGACTCAGCACCCTCAAAATTGTAAAGAATTAATTTCTGGGTGGAGGCTACTACTTATCTTGGGCCTTGTAGACAACTTCCTATTACTGAAGCATCAATTTCCACCAAAGTCCAGCTCCATCTGGCTTTTCACCATGGTGGTCTGTGTTCCCTGCTTTTGTTAGTGCCACACTGGGGTCCAAAGGCTGTTTTCAAATGTGAGAGAAGGCTGTGAGACCAGGAATGAAGCCAAGGAGAATTTGTAAGAGGCAACTGAACAGTTTTCTGGATCACCTGGAGAAAGAGACAAGCTGTGAGTTTAAATCAAAGATTTCATATTCAGTGGGGCAAATGATACTTGTAAAATCTCTCCACTTAAAAAGATTTTAGGTAGAGGGTCTACCAGGTACAAGGCAGCTTTTCCCACTTGGGAAGACGTGGGTGAAATCAGTATGTACCTCCCCCATAAAATGAATCTACCATGTGCAGAGTGAGAAGGCAGGCCAGTGGAGGCATTCCTGTGAAGTCTGCTTGAGAATGCTCAGCCTGCATTCGCAGCATCCTTCCCACACAAGCTTCTGCCCCAGGCTTCTGGCTGCCCCCAGGCCTCCTCGGCACAGCAGGAAAGGTGTGGTACTGCCACTTCCACTCCAACACATTCCACCTGGAATTTAAATCCTGGCTCCGTCACTTATCACTGATGACCTGGGCAAGTGACATGGCCCTTCTACCAAAGTTTCCCTTGTCAAAGGAGAATAATGATTCTACACCCATCTCGTGGGACTGTGGCAGGATTAAGTGAGTAAATGTAGGCAAATCACCAAGGACAGTGTCTGGCAAATAGTAAGCACTTTGTGTTGTTATGAAAGAATTTGTCTTGGGTTCTAGAGTATTTAGGGGATCAAACACTGACACCTAAAGGAATCTCCAGTACTGACAAGGAGATAGAGAACTATTTGGGAGGAGTTTCAATGGCTCCTAGAATCAAATCTATGCCTGTGTATTAACATCCTGATTGTAACCTGAGTATTATCTTTCTCATGTTTCTGCTCTTTCAGATACTCCCTTAAGAACAGGAGCCAAGAACCAAACTGGCTGGTGAGACCTGGTCACCTGATTGCTGAGGGAAACAAATCCCACAACCTATTATCACCGACCTCTGCTTTGCCAGCATGGGACTGTGGATCCATCTGCCCATGCCCAGCTTGGAAGCCCTTGCCTCTTCTCTGACTGGCTCATGACTGTGGAAAGCACAGGCACCTACCACATCATCAAGTCCTCTTTTAAAAACTCAATGAAAGCAAGATGTGGTTGTGCATGCCTGCAATCCCATCATTCTGGAAGACTGAAACAGAAGGACTGTAAGTTCAAGCACAGCCTGGCAACTTGTGACTTAGCAAGACCCTGTCTCAAAAATAAAAAAGCCAAGTGTGAAGGCTCTGAGTTCAATTTTTAGTACTGCAAAAAATTCTATGATGCCAGATGCTAATTCAGATACTATTTACACATAACAAATTAATTTACAGCTAATTCAGGTGACTATTTTACAGATAGATCCAGTGAGGTTCAGAAATATGAAGTCAGGGGCTGGGGATTTAGCTCAGTGGCAAAGCGCCTGCCTGGCAAGTGCAAAGTCGTGAGTTCGATTCCTGGTACCAGAAGAAAAACAAACAAACAAACAAAAAAGATACATGAAATCAATGATTTCCAAATGCTGGTCCAAGAACCAAAGACAGTCCTTGTGGTGTTTTCACTGGTCTTCAGCAAAATTGGAAAAATAAGAAACAAATAAAGATAAAAATAAAATAAGAATAAAATAAGAATCATGTGATGAGTTTTTAAATTGTGTGATTATGTCCTGTCTTCAGAAATCTGTATCAAAATGCCCCCTTTTATAAAATGATACTGGCAGGAGCTGGGATTTGAAACAATATCTTTTGATCAATTTCCATGCCTCCTATTATGCTATTTATCTATTTCTACAGTACTAGGGATTAAGTCAAGGACTTTCTCACTGAGCTATATCCCCAGCCTTTTTATATTTTATTTTGAGACAGGGTTTCACCAAGTCATTAAGTTGCTCAGGGCAGGCTCAAACTTTCAATTCCCCTCCCTTAGCCCATGAAGGTGCTGAGATTACAGGCATATGTAACTACACTCAGCCAATTAATTTTTTTTTTTTTTTT